AATTCAAAGGATTTTCGCAGCTACTGAGTATGCTTAAACTAATTCCGTCACGCTAAGCTAATGAACTTGAAATCTCATTGCTTAGAAATGATAAAAAAACAAATTTATGAGAAAACACCCTTCATCTGCTATAACTACCAAATTATTCCACATGTACAAAAACTTATCACCGAAAAAACGATGCCTTCTTTAACCTCAAGATCACATTACAAATGCACAATCAAATATTCAAGGAAAGTCTTAAATGAAAAGAAGTAAACACAAGCCCCAAGATGTGCAAAATAACCTAAAGTTCGTATGTTTTTTCAAAATCAGAAAAAAATTTCCTGATACACACCTTCCTATTGCTGATCGTTTGCTTGCTCTGCGATGCAGAGGATATAGCAGAAGGTCCAGGTTCTGTGCTTGTTTCCATCCTGACATTGTCTACACCATCCGCTATCGACGCCACCTGACTAGCTAACGCCTTCTCCTCTGTGCGTTCGTCGAATTCCGATCCACTGTCTCTTGTTAAAGGATTTTCCTAGGGGAAACAATATACTCAAAAACTACCATATTTCAATGATGCTAATGAGACTCACATTTAACATCACGCTAGGTTGTTCCCTCTCAAGGCGCTCCTCCGTGAGTTCTACAGCAGGGGCAACGAGTTCGTTTGGCTGAATGATTGACATTTGAATGGCAGACCCAATACAAAGGTGCTAAGGCGCAATCAAGATTAGTGGTACCTGAGCCTCTTTGGTAGTCAGTAACTGCGCATTTATGGTAAGTTCAAAACCGGCCGGTTTCTGGTAGTTGGCGCGTTTCGTAGCATCGTCCTTTATTACTGTTGAAATTAGTTCTGATAAGTCTACTGCTCTCTGCATGGCTCGCTTCACGCATGCTTCTATCTGAGTCAAGTAAACCCATCTCATCTGAATCAACGAGAAACTAAGTAGTCCCTTGCCAACCTACCGTATTCGTGCTCAAAATCAGATTAGTTGATTGATGAAGCGCGCAAACTTCACGCCGTTTATTACAAG